AGAGGGGAACACCGCGAAGCTGCCTTGTGCTCCAGAGTTGGCGGCGGAGCTTTCAGTGGGCTGGCGTGGGGGCTGGCCTTTCACCTGCTGTATTCCAAATCTAACACAGGCAAATAGAAGGGGCAAGTAGGAAGTATCTTAAAATGACCAGCGACTGTCTGCTAGAACCCATACCTGAGGTACAGCTAAGGAAATCATAGCACAATTGTGAAGTTTTATCATTATGAACAGGCAGAAATGTGGACGTGCTATTCAGGGTACAGCAAGGACTCTGGCTCGGGAAGCACCCGGAAGGCCCTGCATGGGTCCTCTGCAGTCCCTCCACCAGCTCTGTCTCTCCACTCTGCCCCAGTGAGTCACCCAAAGCCTTGCACACACTAGCTTCTGATTCTGGGAACTCGCAGCTTTCTTCTCTCTCTCCAGAATGCCCTGATAAATTCCTACTGATCCTTTAAGCACCAAATCCAACATTCCTTCTTGTGGAGATGCTCCCCCAATTTACTCAGGTTGTTAGTCACAGTCTTCTTTATGATCCAGTATAATATATGGCCAGCTTCATGAAAGTCCTTGTTGAACTGCGTGCAAAGGATTTGAATACCTGTCCAACCCCCAGCAAAAGGACAAGCTCCTTATGACAGGGATTCCATTGCATTCACCTGCACATCCCTTCAGTGCCCCCACAGATTTTAAATAAATACTGACTAGATAAAACAAGATCTAGGTGAATGAATGAATGAATGAATGAGAAAGTATAGGATGTGCTATCAAATTAGAAACCAGGAATTCTGCCTTCTGATTTTTTTCACTATAGAATTTAATTTTACTCTTATTTTTAATATAGAAATGTTTCCAGATATATACAGTGAATTTTTTGCATATATTTCTATATATTTGGACAAATGTAGAGACTTCTATGAACACCATCACAATAGATTACAGAACAGTGACACCATGTAAATAATCCCCCACCCTGGGAACCATTAAAGCATTCTTCATCTCTGCAGACCATCTTTCCTATGAAATCATATTCATGGAATTATACAACATGTAATCTTTTGAAACTGGCTTATTTTACTAAGAATAATGCCTTTGAAATCCGTCTGTGTTGTTGTGAATATCAATACTACTGAGTAGTATTAGAACCACAGCTTGTTAATCAATTCATCACTAAAGGATAATTAGACTGTTTCCAGTTTTTGGTGATCATTAATACATTTGTTACAGATAACAGCATACAGGCTTTCCTTAGGAAAATAACATTTCGGGGGCTGGGGATTTAGCTCAGCGGCAAAAGCGCCTGCCTGGCAAGCGCAAGGTC